ATTTGAGCATTTATGCCTAGAGGGCACTTTGTATATTGGGTTATGAGCTGAGGAGGTTGCTCCGGTTATGATGGTTAGCCTTACGTGATATGAGGCAAAAAGGGAGTTACTACGGACCTTTGAAAGGTCATTGGCCAAGTTGGTGCAATCAGAAATCGGCTTGAGATTGATGGATTGATTTATTTGTGAACAGCGCTTTATATCAGGCCAGTTGTGTTCATTTCAGCAAGCGTTCCCTATGGAGGGACAGACGAGGTGTTATTTTGTCATCAGCTATTCCAGGTAATGATGTATTGCGCCGTATGAGTTGTGAGACGGCTTAGTAAATTCTTATGTGTTAAGGTTCTGCGTGGCAATGATGTTATGTGAGCGGAATGGCTCTTGAGATTCAGATCTTGTGTCGCACCTTAGTTGTGCTTGAGTTTTGTGGCCTATAGCGCTATGTGTTTTCTCAGGGATGGTATTATGCACTTAGCATGCTTACGATCGAAATTCGATACTTTTATTGTAATGAGCAGATTTAGCTCGAAGTGCAATCTCCTTATGTGAGATCTATGTGTAGATCGGGTGGCACGCCGCCATGGGTATGTTATTTGGATCGGGTTGCGCGCCGCAACAGTGTGATGTCGAGTCTAGTTTCCGTATGCTATTCCTTTATGTGTTTTGCTTCCTATCTTCTTAGGAAAGTCCGTATTAGTGCGGGGTCTAGATAATTCCTTCCAGAGTTTGATTTCTTGTTTGTGTTGTGTTCGGATTGGTGGCCTATTGGCGCATGTTAGCATCATATGAGATTTTAACAATTTCTGGGGTGGCTTATTGCCTGAGCAGTTGTATCGGATGAGACGAGATCCCTTGATCTGGGATTCTGTGCAATCCAGCTATGTGAGGTATGTTATGGAGATAAGACCATTATAGGGTACAGAATGAGGTGAAGGCCTTATCAGGAGTATAGACCTAATGATTTGTTGACTCGGCAATTGATTATGAATGTTGGTACATCTCTTCATCATGGCAATATGGTAAAGGTTAGAGTAAGACCTGTATACGTCATGGGGTGCAATGGGAGCACCAGATTAGTAGGATTTTGACTAGGTGGATCAGAAAAAGGTTATTGTGGCCCTACGAGTGGGTAATGCAAAGTGTGAATTCAACAAAGTTATGCAATCGTATTTGAGTACAGCGTGTAGTGATTGATATGGTGATCGTATGTTGGAAACAGGCCTGGCTTAGGATTCCGGATGTTGGAATCGGGCTCTAAGGCTTATTTGCTTGAATAAAAGCGAATATCTTCAGAATGTATCGAGCTTATGTGCTCAGCTAAGTTGTGGTAGCACGGGAAGGTGCATGAGGTGCTAAACAGTGATTTCAGACCACTCCAGTACAGTTCTCAGGACGTTCGAGGACGAACGTTTGTTTAAGTGGGAGAGAATGTAACGACCCGACCGGTCGTTTTGAGTCCTAGCGCTCCGTTCAGCAGTCGGAGGCCATGAACAACTTCATTTCAGGTATTTTGACTTGTACGCGTGGTCGGAATTAAGTTTCAGGAAGTTCAAAGTTAATTTAGAAAGAGAATTCTCATTTCAGAAGCTTAAAGTTGAAAGAATAAACTAGGATTGGAATTTTGAGTAAACGACCTCGGAATCAGGATCCGAAGGTTCCAGCAGGTTCGTATGATGATTTCAGACTTGGGCGTATGTCCGGTTTGGGTTTTGGATAACCTGGGAGTGTTTTGGCGCCTATTGTGGAAGTTAGCATTTTAGAAGGAATTTCATAAGTTTGGTTCGAAGTGCATTTCAGAGTTATCGATGTCTGTTTGGAATTTCGAGACTGCGAATAGCTCCGTATGGTGATTCTGGAGTTGGGGGCGCGATCGGAAGTGAATTCGGAGGTCCGTAGGACATTTTGGAGCCATTTGGCTAAGGATGGAAATTTGAAGGTTTTTGAGAAGTTTGACCGGAGGTTGACTTTTTGATATCGGGGTCGGAATCCGATTCCGGAAGTTGGAGTAGGTCGTAATGTCAAATATGATTTGTGTGCAAAATTTGAGGTCAATCGAACGTGATTTGACAGGTTTAAGCATCGAAAGTAGAAGTTGGAAAGTTCAAAGTTCATAAAGATTGAATTTGGGTGTAATCCGTGATTTTCGTGTTGTTTGATGTGATTTGAGTGCCTTCGTTCAAGTTCCGTAATGATGATTTTGGATTCATGTGTTAGGGGATATGGCTGAGTAGAGATACAACCACGGGAAGCGGCCTCGGGTGGATTCCGGGTGGTTAACGGATCGAAATTGGAATTTGGAAGAGAGCTGAAGGCATCTGGTTGCTGGTGTTTTCGCTTCTGCGGTTGGTTGACCGCAGAAGCGGCACCGCAGAAGCGAACGGGGAGCCGCAGATGCGGTTTTTGGTCCAAAGCTTGAGGACCGCAGATGCGGTCGAAATTTCGCAGAAGCGGAACCGCATCTGCATAAGGGGCATCGTAGAAGCGAGAAAGGGCGGCATGGGAAGGAGTCGCAGAAGCGGCCCTTGGACCGGATAAGCGGAACCGCTGGTGCGGCATGGCTTCCGCAGAAGCGAAAATGACTGGAAGCAGAACCTTGTTTTAAATCGTGGGATTGAGTTCATTTCTCCCATTTCTTCATGGCTTGGGCGATTTTTGGGGAGCTTCAAGAGAGGGTTTTGTCGCCAATGTTGAGGTAAGTTATCCCCACCACTTTTGAGTTGAATATATCAATTATATATGGGTTTAAGCATGGAAATTAGAGTAAATATTGAGGTTTTGGTTGAAAACCTAGAAAATTATAATCTTGGATTTTAGCCACAAATTTTGAGTATGGAATTAAGAGAAAATTATATATTTGTGTTCCTAAGGTCATGGGTAATCTTTATCTTCGAAAAATTTCGAATTCCGGGCACGTGGGCCGGAGGGCATTTTGGTCATTTCTCTAAGCGGAGTTGGGAATTTGTATAATTTGAATTGTTAATGAGTATTTGAGCATGTTCTCATTAGTTTGTCGTTAAATGGCTAGTTTTGGGGCGTTGTGCGTCGATTCAAGCCTTCGGAAGAATGTAGAATGCCGGTTATGAGTCTTCGGAGCTAGGTGAGTCTCCTTTCTAATCTTGTGAGGGGGAATTTACCCCATAGGTGAGTTAAATTGATTATGTGCTCCTATTTGTGGGGGCTACGTACGCACGAGGTGACGAGAGTCGTGCGTAGCTACTATTATGCTATTGTCCGGGTAGTTAGGACCCAAAAGCATGTTATACTTGGATTACTGTGAACCCATTGATAGTTTGAAGTGTTTCAATCACCTTGAATTGGTAAAGAAATTTAAAAAGAGATTTAATATTAAATTTTCCCTGAAATGTTAAAAAGAGAAATTTGTCTATTTGGTTGATTATCCCCGATAAGCTCTTAATTTCCTACTTGAGCATGTATTTTATGTGTGCCTGCGTCGCATGGATGATTCGCGAGCAGGATATGTGTTTATTTATGGAACCGGACGAACGTCTCGGTGAGAATAGATGCATCTATGGTTCGTGCCGCTCGACCCTCGACAGTGCACAAATTTACATTTCTGTTGGAGCGGGCCATCGACCTCGACATGATTTGCGCATGTCTGTGCTGTTGTCTTGAACTTCATTAAGTTATTGTTTCCCTTTTGCGACTTAAAAATATTTGGATTATATTTAGAGAGAAATTCTGGAAATTTACCTATGAAGGAATTACGTGTTTACTTGTTTCCTCTAGCTGGATTAGAATCATGTTTATAAAATAAATCCACTGTTTAGTATAGACATATTAAGGATGAATCATTATTGGATCGTTAGAGAGCGTCAAAGTTGACCATCTCGTCTCTACCCTTTCGGGATTAGGCGGGATATTCACTGAGTACACGTTGATTACGTACTCATGCTACACTTCTGTGCATTTTTGTTGCACAGGTATGTATACCTCTAGCAGCCTACTGGGCGTGGCAGCATGGATGACTCTGGGACTAGGTGAGCTGCATTGTTCGAGACGACCCGCAGCCAGTGTAGTTCCTTTCAGTATTTTATTATTTATTCCCTGTCCACTGTATTTCGGACAGATGTTGTATTTTACTTTCCTTATCGATAGTTGCTCATGTACTTGTGACACCGGGTTTCTGGGATGGGTTTCAACGGATTTGTACTAATTGTTATTATTTAAATTTGAATTCAAGTAGTGAACTTTTATTTATGAAAATGGAAGGAAAAACCTTAGATTTTCAAAAGTATTAAAAGAGGAATTTATTAAAAAATTTAGTTGGCTGGCCCGACAGAGGTGTCCGGCGCCACCACGTATTTTCAGCAGTGATTTGGCATTTAATTAATTATGAAATAAATTTTGTCCAAAAATAATGTTATCGATCGTTTGACAAATCCGAAGCCGAAGCCGAAGCCGAAGCCGAGCCGAGCGAGCGACGACGACGGTGCGAGGGTTCGTTCTCTTCAACTCCTTTTAAGAGCTTTAAGAAGTGATTCTATATATAAGCACACAAATGTGGTTGTCCCTCACCAATGAGGGACAAAGTGCAAGACAAAAGTTCACTTCTTCAAATTTTCAATTTCCCTCCATTTCCAATTCACACTTCTTCTACTTTAAAGCCCAATGGCTTAAAGTCCAACAGTTACTCCCACTACTCTTATCCATTATGTAGATAACTCCCACTACTTCTCACCATTATAGTTGTAACTCTCACACCTTCATAACCTCCCCTGATCTCATATGTTCAATGTCATGTTTATGGCATTCTTTTGTATGCCTCTATATAATCCTATAAATAGAGGGTTTTGGCATCACATTGTATACACTTGAATACATGGAAGAAACAGATTCTCTCCTCTCTTTCTCTCTACATTATTGTCTATCTTCTTATTTTATGTATTACTTTGAGCTAAGTTTCGTCATCATTTTAGGATAACTCACATAAATTGCAACAGAGGTAGTATATGCTAAATCCGCCTTCGTCGGTACGTGGCAGCAAACCCGTCAGCGCAGAATCTAGAACCTTCAGACCCGCTAGCCACATCATCTCGTAGTATAGTATAGCCAAGTTTGCAGGTGACACGGCGTAGGTTTTGCTGACTTTCTCACCAAGTCACGACTTTGTTTTGCAGTCTTAAAGTTCAATCTCCAGGAGAAGATAAATATGGCGATGAGATCAGTCGTTTCAAGCAGTGGAGTCCGTCGTTTAATGGAAGGTGGTGGGAGATCATCGGCTTCGGGCCTTCGCTACTTCACCGACGGCAAAGGTCGAATCCTCAGTGAAGAAGAACGTGCTAAAGAGACCGTCTACATTCAGGTATTTAATTAATTTTTCATCCATATGTTTTTCTTAAATTTGATTGTGCAAAGATTAGTATTTATATACTCCGTATTTGTTTTTGGTGAAAAAAGAAAATGGAAAGGGAGAGGATGGAGAAGGCGAAGCGGAAGGCTGAAAAGGAGAAAGCTGAAAGAGAGAAAGCTGACAAGGTATTACTGTTTTCTCTTTTTTTCCAAAAAAAAACTCGTTTGCCATATAAATTGATACAGAGGGAGTATTGAAGTAGGTGTAAAATTGATCTTTCCATTTTACTGGTTAACTAATCCTTGGGTTGTATTCCTGAAATATAATTTTGGAATGTGTTTTTCATTTTATAGTGAAACAAAGTAAAGGAGTGGTATTTGGTAACCTGATCAGACATATAGTACTGTTTTTTGGCAATTGCCAATTTGAATTTTTTTAACTCTGTACCTGAATGCTTACAACTTAAACAGAATTCTTGCCCTCTTATAAAGAAAAGAAGGAGCTGCTCTTGATTAAATCAGGAAGAAAATAACCTCGACCGGACCTTAATTAGTACGCCTTTCCGCAGTCAAATTGCTAATTTAAAAGAAATTATTGATAGCTTAAACAATTGGCTATTAGCTTGGGGAGGATTATATTATACTTAGGGAAGAACAAACAGGCTTTGAAGTCTATAATTTTGCAAGTAATTTTTTTTTCAAATAATTGGTTTCCGAGCTACTACATCTAACCTGTTAGTTATCATCTGTTAGATTTATGTTTCTGTGTAGGCTCTTTTCTGTTCATTATTTTGAGAGGCAGAGGGGAAAAACTGCTCAATCTCATGATTCTTTCTTTCATGGGTTTTTTCATATCGAAAGCTATACTGTTCGTTAAAGCAGAGGAACTGGCTTTGATTCTTTGGCCAACTGATCATAGACTGAATTACTTTTATTTTTACCAAGAAATGAGTTCATAAAAAATATGCACACACATATACGTACATCAAGTTGGTATTTTATATTAAAATGTGAGATAATTCAGCAATAACATAACGTATATGCATGCAATGCGTCGAGTAAATGAGTTTGCTTAGATTCTAAACTAGTAACTGAATCAACTCGTACTTGGTAGTCTGTTCCTTGTAAACATCATGCTCGACCTTTCTTCTCACCCTCCATTTCGTTTCTTTAGTAGAAGGCAGAAGAAGAGGCTCATAAGAGCTGAAGTGCGTCGCCTGCGCTGAGTTGTGAAACTCTTGTTCCCAAGTCCTGTTTAACAAAAATAATGTATGCTCAAGTGTTGCCCTATCTTAGGGATTGGGCCTGTCCTTGTGCAGAATATGGTTTAATGCTTTTAGTCTGTCCGTGTTGTCTATGATGCTGTGAACTTTCTATTTTCAAGATCATCTTTGCTTGGGCTTATGTCCATCTCCTAGTAATTGCTGTACACATTATGTTTCTTGAGCCATATCTTTAGTTCCTATTTGCAAGTATCTGGGAGTGACAAATCTGTCTGAGAGATTGACACAATAGAGGTTAACTGAATGATTATGTGTGTGGAATCGTCATTGAATGGATATGGTTAGATAAACATAGCAAGCAATCTGGTAACAAGAACAGTTTTCTGTTATCTTAAGCTACAACGAGCACTGGTATCATGATTGGTGCTGTTCGTTAAATGATTTAATCGCTTCATCGTGCAGGAAAATATGAGTAGAATTGATCCTGCCAACCCCGGTTCATCCGTTGGAGTCGAGACTCTGTAATTCATTTCAATGAATAGCTCTGTCCAGGTCTAAAACTGCTTGTTGACAACTCCTCATGTGATGCAATAGCAAAGGGTTAGACTCTTAGTCTTGGTATATAAGTAAATAGATTTTCTTTTTCTCAAAGAAATAATAGAGTCAGAGTGAAAACGATATGTTACAGTAAGAATTTCGATTCCAGTGCTAAACTATGTTTAATAAGTTTGATGCTGCAACTCATCCGCAATATTCAGTTTTCCTTTGGCCAGATGTAGATTATTTGTTTGAAAAAGTCGCATAAACACTATTCCCATTTATTTTCTTATTTCTACAGAAAATTTGGATCAGATCTCAAACCCAAGGAGCAACACGCTCTAGTCAGAAGACTCAAAACAGATCCTAAGAAATAGAGTAAAATGTATTTGAAAAGGGAAAGCAAAATGTCAAAAGGTTATACACGCGGACTAGAAAGTATTCTTTTTTTGATGAAGATAATTTTTTTTTTTTTTTTGATGAAGTCGCGGACTAGAAAGTATTCTGCATCCTCATATTATAAAACAAGAATGTCAGTTATCTTAGCACCAAAACATACTTGGAATGAAGGATTAGGAAATGCTTGAAAGTCGAAAGAGAAACATGTTCGATTTGAATTACACGTATTTTTTCTAAAATTTCAATAATTAACCCATTCTTGGCCTTATCTCAATTCCTTCAACAATAAGGCCGTGCTTTGGAAGTCCAACCTTCACCTCTTGCACTCTCATTTCTATGCAATCATCTTCATTTTCAATGAAAAACTCACCCAATTCTATCTCAAACCAGCCATCATCTCTCAGTTTGGGAAGTAGTTTATCACCTTGCACGATGCCAGGATCATCACGCCAATTGTATAGCCGGCGCAGTGGTGACACCTCATTTGGCTCATAATCATCATCCTCATAATCGTCAACTAGCCCGGGCTCCTCATGCTCCGTATCAGAGGCCAGAGTATACAAACCGGACGTTTCCGGATTCAACACCAGAAATTCCAACTGAGACCTCCGAGGGTCGATGATAAAACCCATATCCATCTTTGATCTTGTAAACAAAATAAGCTGTGTAGGATGTCAGTGGTGATAGAATCCCAGCCTTTATTGTGCCCCAAATTTCAAGCCACCAAACAATTTTGAGCTTAGCCACCTCTGGAAACCTATTCTGGCATTATGGGGAAATCTATTATCATATATCTAAGAGTTTAAGTTATATACATTTGTCAGTGTAAGAAATTCTTTTATACAATCAAATCATCTTACAATATTTATAGGTAAGCCTCCTTAGATGTATAATCTATAATCATGAAAATAAGACAAATTAAATGCTACAATAAGAAAAAATGACATGATGGTGTAAAAAATTTGTTTAAGCATAGAATTTTAATAAACAAATGTGTATACTTATTCTCAAGAGAAGGATAGTCTATCCTCTAAAAGACGGCAAACCTGGACTCTGGTGGTGAAGTCCTATTCCAATATTCTGGTGCATCACTCCATACAATGTTAAGATCCCTTGCACTTAGAAAGTAGCATTTCTTTCCAGTCCGTTTTTCCAGTGAGAAACTCTGTTGAACAAAAGCATATCTAGTAAGTCGAAACACACAACTGATGAAAGAGAACGAGCGTACAGAGAACATGTATCTATACAGGTTTAACAAGATGACAAGAGATGTTTGTATATAAAGGCCACAAGAGATTGGGATTGCAGACAAGAGCGACAATTGAAGACAAGCTCAGTTGCTCAATTTTAATTACCTAGCTATGCAGGGTAGATAATTTTGTGGAATGGTCAGGTAAAGTAAATTTCATTAATAAAGGTATCCAGGGGAATGGCCGGACGCAAAAGCTGAATACAAAAGAAAAGAAGTAAGCACAGATTGCCATGAAAAGAAGTAACTTATCATGGTTATTACCCAAAAAAAAAAACTTATCATGGTTAAATCATTTATTGAGGAAATAAGTATTAATTAATCATGGTTATGTAAAAGAATTCTATATGCAAAGACATGTTATGCATCTTTTAGTTTGGCGTAAACACAGATTGCCAGTAACTTTTTACCTTTCTCCATGAATGGTTAAAGCCAAGGGTAATATTTTCCATAAGAGGATAGAAATGTTGACATTCAGATTTACTTTCAAAAAGAAAAAAAATCGAACAAAAAAAAAAACAAGACATAAACAACCAGCAGCAAGTTACAACTACTTTGATCCCACGGAAATACAAAAGTACTGACAAAAACTAATCGTTTTTTCTTTGTTTCCATTTTTACCTTGCGACCTTCATCAATTAAGACGGGATGATGGCAAAGATAAACATATAGATCCTTGTTTGAACGGAAATCGGGGATCGGAGTGAGTGATCGGGAAATGATGGACCGATAATCGGACGGCAGGAATATTGCCCAAACGGAATCGGAATCGGCGGCAGATCGGACAGATGTAGAGACTAAGGAAAGGCGGCGAACGTCGATAGGGCTTGTTAAGGCTAAGATATCTGCGATACAACCCTCCGGTAGCATCCACAGACAAGTAGTACTCCTCTCATCTTCTTCACCGTTCTCATTCTCCATTTGTGTTTTTTTCCTGGTTATGGCCGGGTTTTTTCCTATTTAAAAGTAAATTGCTTATTAGGGGTTGTTTGGTTGATATTTTGTTTGGTTACTGAGATTAGAATACTAACCAGTATAAAATTTGAGTCATATCTATTCGGTATTTGGATATTGATATTAATCAATATTGGGATATTTGCCTTGCAAATTGATAATTCTAGTGTGGTTCATGTTTTGCTGGATCCGTGCTTTATAGAACGGTAATATTGTCAACTGCATTTATATCTCTCGGCTAGGAACTGAGTGGTCTTATTGCTCATATATATGTGATACATGCCAAATGAGCTGGCCTAACAATTTCCAAGTAAACATCATAGCATTTGAGTGCTTTAAAGGAGTCAAGATCAAGAAGGTTATACTTGTAATAATTAATTACACTTAGTTCCTTAGAATTAGCTTAGGGGTATTTGGGTCATTTGTAGCCAAATGCCTACTCTAATATAAATAGTCCTTAAGGCATTTATTTTAGGTAGACTTGATGAATGATAAAACTTGAAGACATGCAAGTCTCACACTCTTTCCTTATCTTTTAATTAATACATTTATGTTTATGCCTTTAATTCCTTTATTGCTTTGTTTATGCTTTCATTAGTGCTAAATTAGTCTTAGTTGATGAGCAATTAGTAGTGAATGCTTAATTGCTTAATTACTTTATCCGGGTTTTCAAGAGTTGCCAATCTCTTGAGGGTTTTCATAGCTTAGGGTTACAATTGATTGAGTTCATAGAGGTAATTAAGCTTCAGAGCCTAATTGATTCTTGTTCTTCCAATCAATTGTAGGTCTAGCTCCTATTGTTGATTTCGTGTATTTTGTCATATCCGTATTTTGGTTCATAGTCCGAATCATCTTGGTATCAGAGCGGAGGTCAAGGAGTTGTCTATCAATCCTTGGGTTTTGTTTTGATTATCATTAAATCAGAAAATCACAACAAAAAATTAAAAAAAAGAAGAAAATTATTTTGGGTTACTGTTCATCCGTGCTCTGTTTTGTTTCCAGAATTAGAACTTCGCTACTGTTTGAAATACCTTCTAAAATTTTGAAAACTTTTGAAGATTTGAGTATCGATCGATTCGTAGCTCGAGGTTTGAGTTTCGATTGAAGCTGGGTTTGAGCTTCAGAACCCTAAGACGACGTGAACCAGAAGAGTTGAAAAATTTGGGGATATGCTCCGAATCGAAATTTTGAGCTCGAAATTGATTGGGTGTTATTTCTATTCATTGTTAACGTGGTTCTGAACTCGTGCTTGAAGATTGAGATCGATTTGAGCTGATTTTCTAGGGTTTTGGGTTGAAAATTTGAACCGATTGTGCGAAGAAGAAGACGACCTAGGGTTCGTCAATTTCATGAGTGTTTGAACAAATTGATTTCGGAATTCTGTTCGAGCTGTTGTCGAGAGTTTGTGGCTAAAGTTTGGGTCCAGTAGAAGACGTTTTGAGTGAGGTTTACCAGAAGAATTTGAGTCGAGCTTGAATCAGTCGAAGAACACTTGTTTCGATTGAAGAACTTCTCGAACTGATTCGAGTCGATTCGAGCAGCTGGTAAATCGAAGAAGAACATTTGTAGAGCTGATTCGAATTGCTTGTAGGTTGAAGTATTTTTGGAGTCAATTCTCTCAAAAAGATGAAGAACAGCTGCCACTGATTTGCAACTGAAAAATTGCAGCTGTGTTCTCCATTTTCTAGGACTCGTTTGCAATTGAATTATTGCCACGAACTTCAATTCATTCATCGCAACGATTCAGGTTTTGATTTGCACAACTTTGCTGCCCAGTTGCTGCATCTGTGAGCTGTTGAAACCTGGAGTTTTGGACTAGCATTAGAGCAAAGAAATCTGCCCTGTTTCTGCAGTTTTGGAACAACATCAGAGGACTGAAATTTTCTGCCCAGTTTCAACTGTTTTTGGTGCTTCAGCTACTGCACAGTTTGAGCTGAATTTCTGCCCTGTTCAGCTGCAGTTTTCTGGATAGTTTGGACAGAAATTTCGGCACTATTATTTCTCCATAGTTTGAGCTGGTTTTCTGCACAATTTGAACTGAACAGGTCTGCTGAAATTTGCACAGTATTCTACACAGTTTCTCCACCAATTCGAGCTGCTGGAATTTGCAGCTTGGGACAACATTTGAGCTAGGAAATCAGTAGCATTGGGGCAGTGTTTGAGAGCAAATTTCTGCCCTGTTTCTCCCCTGATTGAGCTGCTGAAAATCTGCAGTTTTGGACAAGAGTTTGAGCTGAGGATTTAGGTGCTTAGGAAGGGATTTGAAGCTGGAAAATTGAAGTTTCAAGAAAGGAAATCCAGCAAATTGCAACAAGTTCAGAGAGGAGTTCAGAAGTTCAGAAATTGTTCTGTCCAGTTTTCTCTTTTCTTTCCCGTTAATCTTTTCTTCTTGTTTGTTAATTCTCAACTAGATTAACTTGATATTAGTTCATATTGAGTTTAATTCTAGTTTCTTTGTGTGCTTAACTTTCTTTCGTGCCAATTGTTTCGTGCTTTTGTCTTCTAATTTCGTTGTGAATTGCTTGGTTCAAGTCCGTTTGCTTTTAATTGTCCGTCCTTGTGAATACACAACTTCCACTCCACCCCGAAGACGGTTGGAACTTGTTGTGAAACCTTGGAACTTAAGTTTGCTAGCAATTTTGACATTCACTACTTGAGCGGGAAAATGCAAGAGCGAATAGGACTTGGAGCACGCAAGAGCCAATTGGTGCAAAGTGTGATACACGAGGGTTGAGCGACATCAAGTGAGTTGGTGAGGACTTTTACTACTAACTTGTTTGCTCATTTTGTAGGTATCATGGAGTACGGACAAACTTCTACTCCTAATTGTGATCCACGGAGTGAGACTCCGATGCATGATGTTGTTTCTATGCTTTATGACATAAGCGAGAAGGTTACCAACTTAAGTGAGAAGGTTACCAATATTAGCATACCGCAACACCAAACGGATGCAAGGTTGAATTCCATGATAGAGGAATCTCACTTGAGGCAACAAGGAAGAGAGCGTAGTATGACGCTTGCTAATTCCTCTACTACACCCTCTCCTTCACAAGTGCGAGAAATGCTTCAAAGGGAAAAATTGCAACACAACCAACCCAACCAAATACCACAAAACTTACCAAGGCAACCACAATCACCAAAGGGACCTTAGTTTCCTCCACCAAACTACCGACCACCTATCCCCTACCAACCTCCAACCACACATCCCCACCACAAGTACCTCAACTTCAACCTTATCACACTCCACCACAAGTTTAAACTTCACCACCACAACCCCTCCAAGGTTACTTTCCACCACCCCAAGTGTCCTACCCACAAGCACACTAACCACCATTTAGACCTCAACCACACATACCCATAATACCACCACCCCAAATGACCTAACCTTGACCACCAATGAATTTACCTCCACAACATATACCTCAAGTTCCACCAAGGAGGGACAATCCCCCTCCCCCACCACACATACCACCTCAAGAGCCTCGGTTGATGAACAACCCACTTTTTCAACATAATCAAGAGGACACCTTGAATGAGTTGGACAACATCCAACAAGTTTTCAATGACGAACATAGGGGAGATGAAGTGAACCAAAGGGGAAGAGGCCAAATGAGTTTGACAACATCTTTGAAAAATGCAAAGAGCAAAAGTAAGGATGAGAGACAAAAGATAGAGAGAAGTGAGGGAGAGAAAATTGACAACTCTAGAGTGGAAAAAGGAGAGAAAGTGTGGAGTAAAGTGAGTGAGTTGTCACAAGAAAAGAGTGAAGAGCTCAAAAAGAAAATGAGAGATAAGAAAGAGGAAAAACAAAAAGAGAGTGAAGATTTTCCTTATTCTAATGCTAATAACCTTTCTTCTTTCTCTAGTTGTTTTGTATCTTGCGAAGGAGCTTTTGGAGATGAGCCATCAAGTGAAGTTCAATCTACTTTGATGAACTTGGAAGAAGATCAAGCTACCTTTTCAAGAGAACTTTTGAAATTTAATGAACAAGTTCAAGGTAAAGAGAATTTCACTTTAGAAGAGCTTCAAGGTAAAATATCTTATCCTTCTATTCATGATACTTTAGCTGATTGTGGTGACACTTTGAGTTTGAAATATAGCTATGACATTGATGAGTTTGATACCTCTTTATCTTGTAATGAGAAAAACAGTTATGGCTTGCAACTAGCTAGGATTTATTGTGCACTATTAAATGATTCTAGTTCTTTGTTAAATGACTCCTTAGATAGTGATGTGTGTGATGTTGAATCTTATGATACCCTACCTTTATGGGATGATGCATGTGATGATTCTTTTGACTCTACTTTAATTTTGTTGGAAGAAAGTTTTGACCTTTATGAAGAAATGAGTCAAGAAGAATGTGTTGATGATTCTTTTGATTCTATGTTCATTCCTTCGGCAAAAAGATTCAATTTTTATGGTGAAATGAGAAAATGTGAGTGTGGAGATGCCTTGTTGGAGAGTGAACAAGTTACTTCTAATGACATAAATATAAAAGAAGAAAACTTTCATTTCTATTCCAATGAATTAACTTCTCTTATATTTGATCTTGATGACTTTTATGCATATTTATGTGATGACTTTGTTGAGTGTGAAAAGGAAAGTAAAGTTTTTGATGCTAGCACTAGTATTAATTGCTTTACTTATCTTGTTCCTACTTTTAAAAGAACATTCTCATGTATTTTGCTAATGCTTCTATGAGAAAAGGTAAGAATGTTTCTTTTGGTATTTTGTGTGACCATTTTGAGCAAAAAGAACCTAACTTTATTGATTATTTTGTGAAGGTTCAACAAGAGAAAGTTGAAAAGGGTAAGAAAGGCCTTAAACTACCACTTTGCCATACTTTTTGTTAAGAGCTTTTCGTTTTGCCCAAAAGCGAGAATAGTATGTACGTTTGGCTTATGCTTATCTTGTGTTTATCTAAGGCCATTGAGGTAAAGACTCTTAACTTTGAGTATTGTGATATTCTTTATATGATGTTTCGTGATGAGCTTGGCATATCTCTTAAGTTGTCAGGTGAAGTTGTTGGAAAGTGTGTAGATATTTGGGGATTAAAAATTGT